ATCAGATCATTTGAAACAATGGACAGTTGATTATTTTGCTAAGCTTTACCAAGAAGATTGACAAGTTTTTCCGTAGTATAATGGACTGAACTTCTTTCCTCCTCTAACTGATACTGAGAAAGAGGATATAAGTCAAAGGGTCATTATGGAGGAAGTTAAGGTTGTTTTGTTTCAAATGGATCCCTATAAAGCCCTTGGGATCGATGGTTTTCATCCTTATTTCTTTCAACGCAATTGGTCTATTGTCGGTTGGATTTGTCTTGGGTGGTGAGTGACATTTTTTATGATCGATTTGACATAAAGGAGTTGAATAAGAGTCTCATTGTTCTGATCCCAGAAAATGACTCTCTTAAACATATTTCTGAATTTTGGCCTATCAGTCTCTGTAATACGGTGTTTAAAGTTGTTACGAAAATTATTGCTAATCGGCTTAAGCTTATTCTGTCTAAACTGGTGTGTTAGGAACAAGTCAATTTTGTTGCTGGGAGGCATATTACAGATAACACTATTATCACGCAAGAGTTAGTGCCCTCTATGAAGAATAAACGCTCAGGCAATGGCTGGATGGCTGTGAAGGTTGATTTGGAAAGGCTTATGATAGGTTGGGGTGGGAGTTTATTCAGCAAACCTTATCTGATATTGGCTTACCTGATAATATTATTCAAGTTGTTATGAAATGTATTACTTCTTCTTCTCTTAGTGTGGCATGGAATGGTGAGCAGTCGACTTACTTCACTCCTAGTCATGGGGTTCAGTAGGGTGATCCTTTGTCACCTTACCTCTTTGTGCTATGTATGGAGCGTTTAGCTCACTCTATCAAGCAAGAAGTGACATCTAAACGGTGGAAGCCTCTTAAGGTTAGTCGAAGGGGACCTATGGTTTCTCATCTTTTTTCGCTGATGACTTGTTTCTTTTTTCAGAAGCTACGGTCTTGCAAGTGGATGTTCTTCTGCAAGTCAATGCGAACTTTGCGAGTATTTCAGGATAGAAGGTTAATATGGCCAAGACTCTCCTTTATTTTTCGAGGAATGTCTTGCCCATGCTTCAGTAGGAAATCAGCCAGCGGAGTGGCTTTTGGCTTACTTTTGATCTTGGTAAATATTTGGGAATTTCTCTAACTCAAGGTACATCTAAATCCAAAGCTTTCTCTTTTCTGTTGGATAAGGTGAAGTCCAAACTTTCAGGATGGAGCGCAGCAACTCTCCCTGGCTAGTAGGATTACGCTCACAAAGTTTGTTCTCCTGGCCATTCCTACTTATGTTTTTCAAACTGTCTCTGTCCCTATTTCTCTTTGTTTGGAGATTGAGAAACATTGCAGGAAGTTAATTTGGGGCTGGAACCATCATAAGCGAGGTCTGTCTCTTATTCGATGGGATCAACTATGTCAACTTAAGGAGATGGGCGGCTTGGATTTAAGAAAGCTTCAGGTCTCTAACGAGGCATTTATGGTTAAACTTGCTTGGGTTTTACTTGTTAACAATGATGCTTTATGGGTGCAGGTTCTCCGTTGTAAGTACACCAAAAGGGTTGGGCCTTTTCCTGATCAATTTAAAAACAGTGGGTACTTCTTAGCTTTAGCGTAATATTATTCGTGTTTGGTCGGTCATGCTGTAGGGTGTGTATTGGTCTATTGGGAATGGCAAGACCATTCGATTTTGGCAGCATCAATGGATTCAGGATGTGCCCCCTTATGGACTCTTACTTATGTCCCGGTTCCGCTTGAGGATTTTGATAAGCCCCTCTATGAGTTTATTGATCAAACTGGTAATTGGAAGTGGCATCATTTTGAAAGCTTTCTTCTGATTGCTATCCTTGAGAGGATTGCTCAGTGCGAAAGCTATATTTTATCTGAGATGGAGGATTCGATGCACTGGGGTCTTTCTTTGAGCGGTACTTTCTCTGTTAAATCTACCTATACTGCATTAAGTAGGCATCGATGGCTTGATAGAGCTGCGATCTAGAAGGTAGTATGGGCTTAAAAAGGGCCAGAGCGAATCCAGACGTTTCTTTGGTTAACTGTTCATAATCATTAGCTCATTAATGTTGAACGGCAGCATCGCCACTTGGCCTCTAGCTCAACTTGTGCGATTTGCTTGGTTCATAAGGAGACAATTCTTGATGTCCTTTGAGATTGTATGCTGGTGTGTCAGCTATGGGATCTTTTGGTTCCTCCGGCAATGAGAATGGAGTTCTTCTCGTGTATGGAGATTGATAGATGGGTGGTTTTTAACTTGCAGTCTATGGGTGTGAGGTCTGATGGTTGTCCATGGAGTTCAATTTTTGCTCTAGGCAGTTGGTTTTTATGGAAATGGAGAAATAAATCTATTTTGGCCCCAGAGGAAGGTTAGCCAATTAATCCTATAGAGATGGTTTGTAACTTTACTATTAGTATTTTGGCTTCACAGCAAGATCAGGTGTTGCGAATGGGTAGTGTTAGGGAGTGCAGGTATTTAGGATGGAATCCACCAGCCGCGGGTTGGTTCAAGCTTAACTGTGATGGCTCGGTTATTATTCAGTCTAATAAGGCTTTCTATAACGGGTGTAATAAAAAATGTTGCAATGGGATGGTGTTTTTGTTTTGCTTATAATTTGGGTAGCTGTTCAGTTATTATGGCAGAGCTTTGGGGCCTTTGTGGGTTTGCATCTAGCTTGGCATAAAGGGGTCGGCACTTGCTTATGGAGCTGGATAATGCTCATGCTGTCTCGTTGGTTAATCAGTTGTTATTACTTCTTCTGTGGTTTCTAATCCGGTGTTGAACATCCAGCAGATGCTTCCCAAAAGCTGAGAGGTTCGTCTTTCGCATATATACATGGAAGGAAATTTGTGTACAGATTGGTTGGCATGTTATGGCTCAACTCTAACTTTAAGCGCTCATATTTTTTAGTCTCCTCCTCATGGCCTAGCTAGTCTACTGCAGTATGATAATTGTGGGGTGGCTTACCCTAGATACATTATGACTTAAGCTATGTTATTCTCTTCTTTTTCTTAAAAAAAAAAAAATTATATTTGACTTTTTAGATCAATTTATCCCTTAAATTTGTTTTAATCTTTACAAATAAATGAATTGATTCAATTTAGTAGGATTGACTTTCATCCCTTCTTATTTTCCACTAAAAACACCAAGATCAAACTTTTCAACACTTTGGAATATAAGTTTAAAATCCATAAAAACATCATTTCTTCTAACACAGTAAATTTACAAAATATGTGGTATAATTTTAATCTATTCAATATAAAAAATGCATGAATTTTACATGCAATAACTTAGTAATAAAAGTAAATTTTAAAATGTTTAAAATAATATATATTTATGAACTCAAAATAATCAGTTAAAATAAAAGGAGATACAATACACCCTATGTATTATTCTCTTTTATTTCTTATTTAATTAGTTTTTTAATAAATTATGTAGTGTGATCCGAATTATATAATTTCTATACAAAAATTTTCACATTATAACTACAATAAAGAATTACGAGCTAAACATAATCTTTTAATCATTTTAAACAAGTTTAAAGGTTAAATTAGCCGAAAAAGTCAAATTTGATATTTTTTATTCCTCTAAACAAGTTCAAACGTCATATTGGCTTTATTCATAACCAAAAATGAGTAATTATATAGTATTTACCCTTATATTTGGTCTTTTATATTTATCAAAATTAATTAATTTGTCTCCATATTTTCTAAAATATATTTTTTATATATTTTGCACTGTTATACTACTAACTGTTATACTACTATCTGCGTCAATTCATTTATTTTTTACTTTAAATGTAGAGAAGAATTAGTTAATTTTGATAAAATATAAGAAAATAATAATTTTGTCATTGAAAATGTATTGTTTTTGGTTTAAATAAAAGAATATTTTTATCTTTTTCATAAAATATTAATAGGTAAAAGTATAAAAAAAATTGACAAAGAGATATGGTATTAGTTGAATGGAATCTAAACATTAGCAAAAAAAGTAATGGAATAAAGTTCAATTTGGTCCTTGAATTTGTTTAGTAGGATTAAAAAGGTCAAATTTGACATTTTGAGTCAATTTAGCCTTTGAATTTGTATAAAATGATTAAAAAGATTCGATTTCATTTTTTAAGTTAATTTAACCCTTAAACTTGTTTTGATTTTTATAGATTAATAATTGATTTAATTTAACATGATTAACTTTTTATCCCTTTTTGTCCTACACTAAGAACACTTAGATTAAACTTTTTCAACACTTATGAATATAAATTTAAAATTCATAAACATATCATTTCGTGTAATATATTAAATTTATAAACATGTATTATAACTTTAACTTATTCAACATGAAAAATGCATAGATTTTATAAGCGATAACCCAGTAATAGAGGTTAATTTTAAAATGTTCAAATTAATACATATTTATAAACTTAAAACCATTGATCAAGGTAAAGAGAAATACAATTCATTTCATATATCATTTTCTTATATTTTATAATTAATTAATTTTTTAATGAATTAGTTAGCTCGATTTCAACTACAATTTTAGTAAATGTCTATATAATGATTTCACTTTGTAAGTACAATGAAGAATTAGAGGTTAAATTGACTCAAAATATCAAATATGATTTTTGTAATTATTTTATATATGTTCATGAGTTAAATTGGACTAAAAAGTGAAATCAAATCTTTTTAATTGTTTTATACAAATTCAAGGGCTAAATTAACCCAAAAGATCAAATCTAATTCTTTTAATCCTGCTAAATAAGTTCAGGATCAAATTGACATTAATTCCAAAATCTAATATACTTGTGAAAATAATGAGACAGACTATTTAATTTTAGTAAAATAAAAAATAAAATACTAATAATAACAGACTAATTAGTTTTAATAAAATAGAGGGATAAAATAATAAATTTATCCTATTTATTATACTGATTAAATCTACCAAACACGAAAGGCACTAGTGCAGATTCAATCAAACTCGTAGGGCCCCCACCAAGTCACCAAACCATAAATTACAGAACTATACGTGAGCACATTCACACCCACATGTCAACACATGTCTCGTCGATTCCTCTGATTTCGTCGGCAACGATCAATAATTACGGATATTGCCATTACCCGCCATTCTCCACCTTCTTTGACTTCAATTCTACTTCCTCATCTCATCTCCCCAAATCTCACTCCCACAATATCTCCTCTGTCAAAGCTCTCTCTTTCCGTGTACGGAAAATGGACGGTCTGATCAAAGGCTTGCTGGACGTGGCGCTTGGCCACGACGACAAAGATGAGGAATCGACCTCACAGTCCCGAGATGAACGGGCCAGATCCAGCTGGGCCGAAGTGAGTAGTCTCTGTCTCTTTCTTTCTCTTGCATTTCATTTTTTTTTTTTTTTTTTTCGAGATGACGGGCAGATCCAGCTGAGGGCCGAGCTGAGGTAGTCTCTGTCCTCTTTTCTTTCTCTTTGCATCATTTTTTTTTTTTTTTATCTTGCTGGAGTCAATATTTTTCCTTTGCTAAAAATGTACAGGTGGTGTCCGGGGAGCAGGATAAACGATGAATCAAGTAAGCAGCAAATCATACACATTTAATTTTTTTTTTTTTTTTTATCTGCTGGAGTCATATTTTTCCTTGCTAAAATGTACAGGTGGTGTCCGGGGAGCAGGATAACGATGATCAAGTAAGCAGCAATCATACCGCTCATGGTTATCGTCCAACAAATCAATGGATAAAACAGGTTTTTCGCTTTTTTTTTAATTAATTTTCTTTTTTTTTCTCTCTTCGTTATTTAATTTGTGGATTGGAATTGGAGAGCATTTTAATCAAATTTCTTTTTTCTTTTTCTTTCTTTTTGTTTTTTGAATTTAAATGATCAGAGCGAAGCGGATTCAAGACCTTCTATGCAGCCTCCGAAGGTTTCTATATTCATTTTGCTGTTAATTCTGATTTGATCGTGGTTTTATCATTTGAATCTCTCAAATAATGATTAAACGTCTTTACTTTTCTTTGCATAAACATAAAAATTGATGACGAATGTTTAGGTTGATAATTGACATTAATGCAATAAAATGCAAATGCTAACGCTCTTGTTGGGACACATATGTATGTGCTATAAATCCAATTCAATTTTGTTTTATAAATTTTGATTCCAATAATATGTAATCAAAGGCAAACGCTAATGAACTTGAATAAATAAAGAGTTAGGAAATTCACGTTTCTCTTCTTTTCTTTTTAATTATGAAATTTTAAATGTCTGCGGCGGTGCCTATATATATAGGCGTTTTTATGGTGATTCTATGAACTTACCTTTGTTTCCTGCAAGATAATGGTTGTCATAACATATTTGTAAAATGAATTGGCATTAAATATTGATCTATTACTACTCTTCATGTTTTCTCTTTCTACTTTTGCATGTTTCTGTATTCGCTCAGGAATCTCCATTGATTCTCTTCAAAATCTCACAAGTTTGATTTCCATGAACAGTATGAAAGAAGTGAAGGTGATGAGCAACATGATTATAACAAAAACCAATGGAATAGACAGGTTGGTTACTGGGGATTTTGAAATGTTTCATTTAGCATTATGGTTTGAGTTTCACTACCCAATCCTGACGCTTATTCTCTCATTGTTCAATTTCTTGTATAGGAGGGAGGAGAGGAAAGCAATGATGGTTGGGAGACTGTTGGCAAAAAGCATCCCAAGCAGCGACATAAGGTATATTTCCATTCTGCTCATCAACATTTTAGAGAAGGCACACGGTACTGCAATCTTGATCCAATATGTTCAATAGAATCATCTCTCCAGAAACTCCAGAGTTTATTGGAAGGAGGATTGATTTTTGCTTTGTTGACCTGCTTGTTCGGTTGGAAAGAGTTGAACAAGTTTTTAATTTTCATATTGACAGATTCAAAAGGATCATTGGCATGGATACAAAAGACCTTCTGGTGAACAAGAATACTCTGAATATGTTGAAGATGGTGCAAATGTAGTACCTTCAGAAGAGGAGCTTGCTGACCTATCACAAGCTTGCAACAGGCTCTGGCAACTTGATAGAAATCGTTTGGTTCCTGGCAAGGACTATCAAATAGATTGCGCTGAAGGGAAGAAGGTCTATGAGAAGGAAGATATGGCAGAAGGAAGCCTATTTAGCTGGTTAAATGAAGATGTATTAATGAGGCCTACCTTTGCTCGTTTTTGTTCTTTGCTTGATAATTACAACCCAAATGAAGGGTGCAAAGAAGTTGTCACTTCTGAAGAGAGGCAAGAGCAAGCTGCTTTTATAGAAGAAATCAGCAGAACTGCTCCAATTAAATATCTTCACAAGTATCTAGCCCGTAAAGGCATTGTATCTGAAGATTATCATGATTTTAAAAAAATATTGTCAAGTCTCTGGTTCGACCTCTATGGTCGAGGTGGTACATCTGGTTCCTCTTCTGCTTTTGAGCATGTTTTTGTTGGAGAAGTTAAGCAGCATGGGGAACAAGAAGTATCTGGTTTCCATAATTGGCTTCAGGTTTGTCTTGCTAGACTCTCCATTTCTAAATTTCTTTGATATTCCTGTGTTATTTTTATGTTTATTTGCAGTTTTATTATTTTTTTTGAAAGGAATATCTTTCTCTTTTTAATTACATCTTAACCTGTGAAGCATTGCACTTTAGTTTTGAACGCTGTCAAGTGCTAATTTTTGTAAGAAATGTCATGTTGGCATGTCCATTTCGTGTCATAAACATGTTCCCATGCCTCACAGGTCTCAGCTCTTGCATGATCAGTTTGCATATCTTTAGCACATTTTTTATTGTATTTACTTATCAGAAAGCCAAATCTTTATAATGAGACATCCTACTGAATCAATTACTAGAGTTGTTATGAGATACTATGGTATTATTAGACATCCTTAGTAAAAGTCTTCCCGACATCCATCTTGAAATATTTTATTTTCATAACTATATAATATATTGTGCAGTTTGCATTTTGAAATTTGGCAAGAAAATATCGATAATTGTCCCTGATGATCAGTTTAAAAATTTGCAGTTTCCTTGTGGATAACTGTATCATTCATTTATCGTTTATATGGTAAATTTTACTTGTGAATATTAGGAAATATACTTGTCCTCAAATTCTATTTTCACTTGTTCAGTTTTATCTAGAAGAAGCAAAAGGAAATGTTGATTATCAAGGTTATATTCTCCCCAGGCGACGTGGTCAGTTTGTAAGTGATCTGATCCTCACTTTTCATTCCATTATGATTTGAGGTAGAAATAAGAATGTTACTTGAACTTCTAATTAGGCGAAAAATAAGTAATCTTCTTGGTAGAAGTAGTTTTTTTATTGTATTTCATATGCACGTGCGGTCTTATTTATCCTCTGAGTAGCCAGTACTTCAGAAATGTCAACAAAAGTTTTCCTTGTTTGTCACTGAAAGAGTTTCACTTTATTCAGTTTTTTACTCTATTTCCATGGCATTTATTATATGGCAATAATTACAATTTCATTTTTTAGTTAAAAAAGAAAAGCTAATGTTTATTTGACAATTTCAAAAGTTAAGTTGAGCTAAGTTTGATAAGAGAACTTATAAATAACTCGTTAGACATTTGGACCCAGCGTTGCTTGTAAATTATGGTGCTTAAAACTTGCAAAATGAAATGGAGAGCAAGTTAAACTGGTTTCTTGAAAAATGAATATAACTGATTTGAGTGGAAGATGTTCTCAATTGAAGCTTGGCAGTGAATAAGTCCTCGCAACTCCTTTGAAACACTTGAAAGTGAATGCTGTTATATATATATATATTGCTTTTATATTCTTCAGTTGAAAAAAAGAAAATGTTTCGGCCTTTAAGGTTTGAGATGTTATTTTGATAAAACTAGGTTCATTTTAGATCAGCCAATACAGGTATTATAATGTATCTTACTTTTACTATTTCTATTTTGCAGCCTGACTCTGAAACTCAGTTGCTTTCCATTCAATTTGAATGGAATGGTGTTCTCAAATCTGTATCAACCATTTTAGTGGGTGTGAGCCCAGAGTTTGAAGTTGCATTATATACTCTGTGTTTCTATATGGGTGGACAAGATAATCATGTAGAGTTGGGTCCATACCCTGTAAATATCAAATGTTACAGCTTTGGAGATCGAATCGGCTCTGTGTTTCCAATAGCAGGGTGAAGGTTCTTCATTTTTTATGTATAAGTTTATCTTGATAGAAATAAAAATGTTGGATGTATTTGAGATGGTATGACAATATCATGGTTTGTTCCCTCTTTGCAAGGGTTTTTAATTGCAAATATCATCAATAAAACCTAAATATACTTGCCAATTTATATGATCTTGTAGTTTTCATGGAACTATGCAGGTTTAGATTCTTGTTTATGTAACCAAAAATTGAAATCTTGCAAGACTTGTTTAGAATTTATTTTATTTTATTTTATTCTAATTTATATCCGTTTTCGTTTTCTAATTTTTTTTTTTTTTGGTTAATTTACGTCTGACTGGATTCAAATTCACACCCTTACAACCCTAAAATTAGAAACAATTTCAGTAATAATGCAATAAATTCAAAAACATACATAAATAATGTTGAAATTACTTGAACATCTAGCCGTTTAAACATATTTAATATCATTTAAACAAATATATAAATGCATTGAACAGGCAACAACTAACCGACACCAATTGTTTACCTAAAAAAGAAATTTCATACTCCTTGAAATGCATCCTCAAAATGAAAACGTTCAAAACCTTGTGTTTTATGGTAGTAATTCTAAGCCTTTCAAATGTGGCAATTGCGCTATCACCTTCTCCTTCGCCCTCACAGCCATTAGAGGAATGTAGCAGAAAAGTTGGTACTGGTGGGAGGAGATATTCAATTCTGCATTTAAGGGTGGAATTGTTACAGCTGAGTGTTGTGTTAAGTTGGTGTCAACGGGAAAAGCTTGTTATGATCAATTTCTAGCAGTTATAGCACAAAATGGACCAGTTTTTGAAGCTCATCCTCCTCATCAGTTCCTGGCCAAAGGGGAAGAAGTATATAAGGATTGTAGTGTAATAGTTGTATCATCTTCACCTTCAGTTGCATTCTGACTTTTCTACTTTTATCACAAGCGAAGAAGATATAACATGATACTTCCAAAAAAAAAACTTCTCTATTTTAGCTAATAAAAATTACTGATTAATTACTGTGAGTGGTTTCTCAAAGTCATGAAGCTTAGATTTATGAATACAAAATATATATATATATATATATATTATATATATATATATATATACACACCACTCTCTTCATCCTATAATTTTTGTCACACTATCCTTTTTTCATCCATTTCAAATTATAGTTTAACCATATAAACTAAATCCATGTGCAAGTCAAATCAAAACACAAATAATTGAATGAAGGGAGTAGTTTTGTGAAAGTAAGATGCACGTTGTTTATACTTATTATATATACTCATGATTTACTCTTTATAAAAGTCAATCATTCGAAATCAATTCAATTAAAAAAATAAAATAAAATATATTAAGAAAAATAATGGATCTAATGTTTCACTGAGAAAATTATAAGCAAAATTATAATAATTGACATTTGAAAAGATATATCTAAAAAAAGATAAAATTTATTAGAACAAATAATTAAATCAAGATATTTCAAAAAAAAATTATAAGCATAAGTCATGATAATTAACGCATTAAAGTTATCTTTTATTTTGTTATCTAAATTTATAATTTTACGGATATAAAAATTTGAAAAATACAGCGAAGATATTTGGTGTTAGCTTGACAAAATAAAATAGAGCTTACAACTTTATTAATATCAGGTTTATTAATTCTATAATATATAATATATATGAGGTCTGGTTGGTTTTCTACTTATCTGGAGAGTGAGAAGTCTTTACGAAATTGGCGAAAACTCTTGTGGCCAAGAGGCCTCATCAATTTGGTGAGTAAAGTAAAGGTTATCCCTATTGCGTAGTGCATATTGTTCCTTCGGCCTATTGAATCTCCTAAAAAATAAAACATATCTATAATATATATAATATCAATATTTATCATTTAAATTATATTTAACTATTATACTTTTTACCTTTATTAAAATTTAATATAAAATTCTTTACATTTGTTGAAAAATTTATATTAATATTAATATTGTTTGAAAAATTTATAATTAATATTATATATATAGTTATATATATATTATATATATATATTATATTAAATTTTAATTAAATTATTTTTCTTATTTACCATAATCAAATTTTAACTAAATTAAAACGTACAATTTTTAATCTTTTTTGTAATTAATAAACTATATTAAATATTATATATTATATTATATATATATATATATATTACTTGATTAATTAATTATGCTTATGTATTTTTTGATTAAAATTGATGACATGGAAATTATAAGTTTTCTTTTTAAAATTTTCAAATATAAACTAAAATATTAATTAAACACATTAATTATTGTAAGCATAATTCTTATTATTTAAATAATATATTTATTAATGTTTATTTTTTGTCTTTGAAATTCTTATATTATTCAAATTTTAATATGAATTATAAGAATATTTAATGTTAAGAAAATAAATTTAGTGAATTGAAATTAATATTTTAATTTCTATTTTGTTAATCTAATTATATTATTTTAATTAATTTTTATTTAAACTATGACTCTATTCAATTCCATTATTTTTTTTTTTTTTAAATAGAGTAAAAAACTATTTTAATAAATCTTTTATTTATGATATATTAATTATAATGAAATTTTATTAGTTTAATTGTAACTCCATTATTTAATGTTAGTTTAATTGTAACTCCATTATTTAATGAATAACATTTAATTTTTATTTAAATATAAAGGATATTAATTATAATGAAAAAAATAAAATTTCATATCATTTTATATTCTAACATGTTGCCACATAAGAATTTAGGCATTAGAAATTATATATTTATATAGATAGATATACTAGCATTTAAAAATGTGTGTTGCACATGTTATTTCTCATTGTAGATAGTTATTATTTAATTTATAATTTATTATTATTTACCAAGAATGATGTTTAATATTATTTTAATTTTTCAGTAAAAAATTAAATGTTATAAAATATAAACAAAATTATAAAATTAAAAACCTTAATAATTAGATGAAATATTTACTATAATTTGATTTTCTTTCTACTCATGTTGTTTTATATTGAATAAAAATATTCTTAAATCCAAAAAACGAAAAAAAAGATTTGTAAGGCTTTACAAAATTTATTTATTCAAGTTTTAATTATTAGAAAACAGCCATAAACAGTGCCAATCCTACAAAATGAAAAGAGCAAACAAACCCTTATATTTTTGAATTTACATCAATTAAAACATATATAAAGCTGCAAAGAAGTTGCTTCAAACTAAAAACTTTTAAAGTAGTTGCTTATTATAGAGACATTTTAGACTAAAAGACCTTTTACATAGAACGGTAAGGCTTTATTTAGAAATCAAACCGTGAGAGAATGATCTGTCGAGACTCTTAAAATGAATAATATTTTGCAACAAGCTAGGACGTACGGTATCTTTTTCCCTTTTATTTTTTAGTTGCCTTATAACCTTTACTGAATTACAAGTCTTGTATGTTTCTTCCCCTTTTGCCAAGAACTGCAGTAGATGAGCTCTAAACTGTGGTTCATGAGCCATATACTTCACAAATACTCCATGACAAGATTTTCCCATTGACACTAACTCAATACAACACTTATTTGTAACAATTCCTCCCTTAAATATTGATTTTAATACCTCATCCACACACCCATAAGTAATTTCTTTTCTACATTGCTCTAAAAATATGACAATTCTTAGCCTTTCCTCTAATGGTGGTGAAGGTGAAGGTGAAGGTGAAGGTGAAGAAGGTGAAGAAGGTGATTGCACTTCAAAATTGAATGCAATTGCAACATTTGAAAGACTTAGAATTACTACCATAAGACAAAAGGTATCGAAAATTTCCATTTTGGTTGAAAACTTACAATGATCTATTGGGTTCTATGTGAGGATGCATTTCAAATAGTGTCAAAATTACTTTTATAGGGATACAAGTGGTATCCGTTAGTTCTTCCTATTCATTAATTTCTAAATTAGTTTTAATGCATTAAATTTTTTTTAGATGGTATTAAATATGCAAGGAGTCTGTTTGTTTTATATTAAATTATATTAAATATTCATAATATTAATTAAAGGCAGTTTGTTTATTTGGTATGAGGTGCATTCATGTCATTTGAAGTGTATGTTTGCTAAAATTTTTGAGGAATTATTTAAAAATTGCAATCTTTATTTCTAGTTTGTATTCTCCTTTTAATAGCACTAGGTAAAGCCTCGCGCATTGCTTGAATTTTTTTATTATATATTATACTTTTAGTTTTTAATTTATTTATAATTTATAAATTGTTTAATATATATGGTTTCATAGTCTATATAGACTTTATATATGGTCTTCATAGTCTATATAGACGTTTTCAAATTAGAAAATTTGTGACCCGAAAAAAATATAGTTAATATATATTATATATATATTCAGAATTTCACTTTTTTCTTATGAAACTCTAAGGAAAATAAAAATATCTTTAAGCAATCCAATAAAAGGAATAAAGTAAAAAAATTCAAAAATTAAAGATAAGATAAGATAATTATTTTAAATAAATATTAATTTTCTAAAAATAAAATTATTGATTATGACTGACTTCTGGATGATTTAGATAATTTAAAATTTAGAATTTGTTTAATCAAATTAGGTATTTTAATTATCAACCAGATTAAATAAAACTCTTTATATATATATAAGTTGACTGTCGATTCCAGAAAAGTGATGGAGATTTTAAAATTATAAATATAAGTTTAACTTAAAAGTTGATGGAGATTTAAAATTATAAATATAAGTTAACTTGATTCTAGAAAAGTTGATGGAGATTTAAAATTATAAATATAAGTTAACTTGATTCTAGAAAAGTTGATGGAGATTTAAAATTATAAATTTAATAAAAATTTTAAATTATTTTATTCAATGTAAATTTGAAATTATTGTATTTAGTAATAAATACTGAAAATTTTAACATGTTATGATTTCACAAAAAAAAAGTTCAAATTAATTCATTTAATTTAGACTTAAATAATTAATCGGTATAATTAGTTTTATATTAATAAAATGTTTCAAAAAAAATTAGACCACCAAAACATATTAAATTAAAATATTATCATAAAATGAAATTATATCATTTTTTTATATACAATAATTCTATACTATTTGTTTTAGTACCTAATTCTTGCGATCATCCAATACGGTAAGAATATGGTACATGGTTCAATTCTACTGCCTTATCTCAGCACTGATACTAAAACCCTTCTCAAGCTTATCTTGCAGAAATTCTTCAGCAAATGATCAATACGGTAGCAATTCTCAATCTTTTCATCTTTAATCATAAGATCAATAAATTTGTCCACAAGACTTAATGTTTCAATATAATTTCTCGAAATACACGTGGGCAATCTACCTCTAACATGTTTTCTCTAGTATAAAATGCTAAAATTATGACACCACCATAAATTAACAGTACAAAATTACAAAATTGAGACAATGATAAACAATGCATATGAAAACAATTCAAATTGATGCCAAAATGTGAGGAGGTTAGACTTAACTGCTCACAATCCAAATCCAAACTGCAACATGAACAACCACAGATTCTGTAATTTCTACCATGATGCTCATGGAATCTGATTGTGATCATAAGAGAAGTGAGAAAAATTTGGCTTATACAGAGTTAATGAGATAAGAATTAATAGGTTATAAGAAATAAAGTTGAAGACAAAGTTTTACGATTTAAATTTAAATAATTTAATATAGATAACATATTATAAAATATTAATTTAAAAAATATTCATGAAAAAAAAGAAAAAGCTCAACACTTTTTTAAAAAAAGAAAAAAAAAAATAGAATGTTGAGAAATGAGAGTGTCACATCAGTATTATAGATAAGATAGATATACAGATAAATAGATATATAGATAGATAGGGGGATTTGCAATATATGATTTCAACTTCAAATTCAAAAATATTTACAATATATTATGTTTCTTTTTTTTTTTTTTTTCTTCTTTTTTTTTTTTTTTTCAGTCTGTCATGACTCATGAAATTATTTCTTTTTGTTTTCTAGCTTTATATATTAAAAAACAGAAGAAACAACGGACCAATAGTGGAACTTAATTGAACTTTTAGAGAATGCTTTTTAATTTATTTTCTAATTTAAATTTAATGGATAATTTTTTTTTTTTTTTTTTTTCATCTGTCATGACTCATGAAATATTCTTTTTGTTTTCTAGCTTTATATATTAAAAAACAGAAGAACAACGTGACCAAATAGTGACTTAATTGACTTTTTAGAGAATGCTTTTAATTTATTTTCTAATTTAAATTTAATGATAAAATATATTAATGTTCACTTTTTAATATTTGTTGCATATTTTGATACTTTAGCAATAACAATTGTATTACCTTACAAATATAATATAATATAATTTATATTATTTGAAAAATAAATTGCATATTAATTAGTTTTAAACTTATTTTCATTGCATAAATGACATAAAAATTGTGCTGCCTTATAAATATAATATAAATTAGTTTTAAAATTAGTTTCATTGCATATATAGCAATAACAATTGTGTTACCTCATCAATATACTATAAAGTAATTTTTCATTATATGAATAAGAAATTGCATATTGATTAGTTAGTTTTAAAATTATTTTCATTGCATAAAGATAAAAGGAAAAAAAATTTAAAAAATGGCCCATGCAGGTCTCGAACCTGCGACCTTCGCGTTATTAGCACGACGCTCTAACCAACTGAGCTAATAGGCCGGATGAGAGAAAAATTTACTTTTATATACATATTCTAAATTCCTTTTATCAGGTTTTCATTGAAAACACGAGTGAAGATATATAAATAAATAGCAATATCCGTTTTAAAAAAAAAGTAAACTGAGTTTGAGCTTGATATTTTAAGCTTAAGGTGGGCCAACTCGAATCTTAAATATATCTTTAATGAGCGAATTTATACTCAAGTCATTTATAAGCCTATGACATAAAGCACCTTTTTATTTATAGAGTTAACAATTTAATTAGGGATAATTACATTGCTGGGATATGATTTTTTTTTTTTTATAATTTGAGAAAGTAAATTGGAAAAGTCTTTTCTTTCATTTCCTTTTAAACTAAAAGTTTTGAAGTTTGAAAAGAACAAGAAAATGAGATAGGTGAATACAGCGAGGTTAGATCAATGTTGTGAACTCGCCTCTGATTTAATCTGATTTGATGAAAAAATGAGAAGCAAAGTTACAATTTAAAATCAGAAGGGACAAAGTTTTAAACATCTCACCAAGAAGAACAAATGATTAAAGAATTTGTTCTTTTAATAACTTAGATTTTTTTCCAATAATAATTAAAAATAAAAATTATTTTAGGAAAATAAAAATATAACTAAACTTATTTCTCCTCATTTTCCCTTTCATTTCAAATGAAAATTATTTATTTTCCCCTCTTTCCATCCACTTCCATAAATTGAAAATAAACCAAGCATAAAGATACGGATAAGATTCAAAAATTATACTAGTTTGGAATAGATATTCTATTAGAATTTCTCATTTTATTCTTATTTTTGTTAAGTTTCAATAAACCAAATAGCTTGCAGAAACTTTCGAAAGTGAGAAGCAGACGTATGAGAAACTGACGGATTCAAAACCTTATGAAATCAAAGTTCCAATTTTTGACCATATAATATAACCAACAAGCTTGAACCTAACCATTCCTATCTTGTGTTACAAGTAAAACAAAAATTAAAAATGCATATATATAGTAGGAATTTTATTCCAATTTTAGCTGAGAATAACTAAAAAGAATTTAGTAATAATCTTAAAATTTACACTTTCAAGCAATGTTATTAAACCCAGCCGGACATTGACCCAGTTAAAAAACTAGTTAGATGGGTCATTGATTTAACTAATGAGTCAACAGTTAAATTAGTGAGTTATGAAATATTAATAATATATATTAACTAAATAATTATAATTTAAAATAATTATAACATACTAAAAAAAATTAAAAATATCAAAAACTCGATTTGGATTAATTGAATCTGTGGGTTGACCAATTCAACCACAGGTCAGCTAATTCATTTTGTTTCTCTTAAATGGTTCAAAGTAAAACCGGCCTGATTTTGAGGCCGATTCACCGAGTTTCCAGGTTGATCCTCCGGATAAGACTGAATTTAATAACTATGCTTTAAAGTGACATGTTGCTTCAAAATAAATTCAAATTACAATAAAATAATTAAATTCCTTGTGAACAAAATAAGCAAACGAATGATATTCTTAAGAACTGTATTTCATTCTTACTCCAAGAGCCAATCAAATGTGAAGTAAGAAGTTGTTGAAAGAAGATGTCGCATAAGGGAAATTTACACATGGGATAATAAACAAGGCAAGACATTCGTGTAAATGTCATAATAAAATCAAATAAGCATAACAATTAAAAAAGTGAATCTTTCCCTTTTTCTCTATATGCATTATCTTACAAGCTAGACAATTGCCACTTGAAGGAGTGGTTGTAAGATGGTATGCGTATCGATTTGAAAGGAATACATCCAAGCAACGGAGAACCACAGAGCAAGAAGGGAAAGGAAAGGCATGTGAAATTAAAAGTTTGTTGGGGGACCCTTGCCCCTGTTTTCATGCAAGAAGACAATAGTAGCTTATTTTGCAATTGGTATTTTCCCTTTTTTCTTTTCCATTCCTCACGTAGAAAAATCACATTATTTTTATTCATGAAAATGAAACTATAGAGAGAGACGACTATATCTACCAATAAAAGTTGATCCCACCTCTCCCCTTTCAGATTCAATTGTCCTTGTTTGAGAGAGAGAGAGAGAGAGAGAGAGAGAGAGATATCAACCAAAGTAAGTTGATCTTACAAGTTTTCACCCGCCCTAAAATTTCACCACTAGACTGGATATAGAGAAAGCTATTTTTTCCTTTTAAGGTAGATATCACCACAATAGTTGTTCTCCATTTAGCCTGTAGTAGATTAAAGATACTGGCACACTGCCTAAGTTCCTACAAGCAAACTTTATACATAGCATTTCATTTTCTATGCAAAGCTAGCAAATAGAAAGATTTTATTCCAAGTCATGGTGATACTAACGAATGAGTGATGTAAGATGTTTAAGAATATGTTCTATCCACCTTGAAAATAAAATAAGAACAAAAATAAATGTCTAAATTCAAAAATCTTATTTGATCTGGGATAAATTGAGCAGCCTATTCAAGTTACTCTGCCAAAAAGATCAAATTAAAAGGACACAATAATCCCTATATCCATTCAAATTCTCAACTTCTAAGAACTCACCCTGATTAGCATATGTATGGTAATTAATTAAATGTTCACCGCGATTACACCTGTACTTGTACATGTTAGACACAAGATAGAGGACCAACTAATCCCACTCCACTATATATAAATATAAGGTCATTCTCCTTTTTCTTTAACTCTGTATTATTTTTTACTTCTCTTTCTAAATTTAACCCATCTTTATTATCTGTTTTTAATTATTCTTTCTTGTGTATGTCAGTTCACTAGATTCAGTAACAAAACAAGTCTTATCATCAAAATTTTCTGCACAATTCTTGCACATGTGAGCTTGCACGCTCATGTACACGTCTGTGCACGTGCATGATGTGTTTGTGTGTGTGAGAGAAAGAGAGATAGAGAAACAAAGACTTGAAGAGATAAGGTTTGACATCCCAAAAAAAAAAAAAAATTGCTATGGTAGGTTAACAACTCGAGCAGCCAATAACTAAGCTCAAATAGACCTCAATCAATAATACCAAAGTATCAACATCCAAGAGGTCAAAGATTCGTAGTTATCTTTTTCGATCAATGAGGACCCACTTGCTAAACTCACAATAAAACTTGTATTCTTCCTCTAAGGTAAACAATTCAGTTCAACAATATTGCATCTTTAGCGACGTCATTAAGTTTATTTGAGGAGCAAAGGCAATGCATTAGAATTACTATTATCATTCATGCAGAGAAGTACACTACTAAATGGATAAAGTATAAAAGCCATACCGTGCATATATGCATACAGCCATATTGAATGTAGAGTACTGAAGAGAAAAGAGAAAAAAGTGAGCAAAGGACTAAAGATATTAGAATGGTTCATCATGCTATCACATGTAATCTACAAAGCCATTTCTTCAAAAATATAAAATAGCAATCTGTAACTTCATTTGCACATCTCACATGGCGATGGTATCCACACTCAGATGACAAAACAAAAGACAAAATGTAGAAATCTTTGTAATCTGAATTTTGTCAAGACAGAATGAGTATTATTCTTAATGCAGGAAGTTACCATTTTTTACACATGGGAATTTCATAAAAGGTCAAACTTTGAGAAGCCAAAACCTTGTGCAATGATCCTAGAATAATCAAATTATTCAATCAGTATATTATATCCGGCCACCCACCAACTAGAGGATTCATTTTGTACAATATAAAATAGACTAAAAATGAATTTGGGGATTTTGTATTATAATCATGTGAATTATCCTATTCAATTTAATAGTTATTACACATTTAAACTTTCAAACAAAGATAAGTACGTAATTTCATAAATAGTCCAAGAATAATTATTCCACAATTAAAAATCTCAACCAAATTGAAGAATATTCAAATTTTGTTCCCATCCTATTCTATGCTATCACATAAACTAAACAAAAACCTGAAATGTACATACATCAAATGCAAAGTTGTACCAGTAAATAATTACGGGTACCACTTAAAGTAGAAAACTAACATCAAGTTTATCTTTTCCATGTTCTTTGATATTGGTGAAACAGTCATTAATACTGGAATTCTAATGCAGAGATGCAAAAACCAGTTCTACATCTCCCACTGATTCATATTCTCAGTTAGTTTCAAAGGCATATCATTGTTTTTTTTCAACTCAACAGTAAGAAGAAGAAGCAATTTCAGGCAACTTTTTACCACATTGACATCGATTGGATGGATTGATCAAATTCACAACTCTAATGGAGCCCAGCAAGCTTAGTACACACATAGTAAATCAGTGGATCAGCTAGACTTCAAATAGTTGAGACTTTGGGAGTATACAAAAGAAAAATTCCAAGAATAATGAAAGCAATGACCTTATTTTAGCCACTTGCTTTCCCAACCAAAAGGAACCCCCAGTCTTCTTATCCAAAGGTAACCAGAACCAAGGAAATTTTGAAATTTATCAATAAATTAGAGCCACAAAAATAGGACAAACATGAAAATAATGGGCTAAACTTGAGGGGCTTTGCCCTTTGCCAAAATGATATGAAACAAACAAAACAAACTATTAGTTAGCAACTTAGCATACTAAAAGATTTGATTTGCAAGTTTGAAATAACCAAATTACAGGACGATCATATTAATAGTATATCTCGTACTGTCTTGCAAGTCACCTAAAACCAAATAAAAACAAAAGCAATAACAATAACAATTACCATTATATATATAAAACACTGGAAAAAAAAATGCAAAACATAGGGAAAAGCAGCACTATCACGTATATATACACACGTGCACACACACAGAGATATATATATAATATAATATATTATAATATTATATAGAGAGAGGAGAGAGAGAGGAGATGAGAGAGAGAGAGAGCATGATTTAAAACAGCCTTGTGGATTGCTGGTTGAAAGTAAAATTATCGAAACCTTCAACCAAAAGACTAGGTCGCAAAACACAAGCAGCAGCTAGAAAATATCAAAATACTCACATTTATCAGAGATATTTCATATTCTATTGCGAGGCAAGGCCGATGCAAAAGATCTGATGTTTTACCAGTGTGAATATAGGATAATAACATAACATAGCCAAAAAAGTTAAGACTATCAAGATCGTCAAAGGTATATCCCTTAGTCAATATCCTACAAATCAAAGGCAAAATATCATGTTGAATGAGTCAGAGAACATACTATATTGAATATTAATTTTCAGTTCTGCATGCTATATTGTGGAGAAACAGGCTGTAATACCGGTTATAGTGAAAAAAGGACACTGAAAGGTTTATTGTGATTGAATTTGATTTTTCACTTTTTCTCTTTAAAACCTAGAGCCCACCAACATTGTCTCCTTCAAACCCTGAACCAGACTTTCGTTTTATAAAGCAAACACTGATATCAGCTCATTCCAACATCCTTTTCTCCCTCTTCAATTCTCAAAATAACACCAAATACAATATTGACCTTTTACACACTTGCATTTCATCTACGTTCTTGTTATAATCGAAAGACACCAGAGTAAGCCTTCAAATCGTTGGAGTGAAGTTTCTTCTGGCACAATTTGCTTTGCACAAACAAACCCTTCAGCCGCCTTCAAGCAGAAGGAACTTCAGTCCAAGAATACACAGCATCTCACATTGATAATATATTCATGATGGAGGAAATGGACAAGTGAAAAGAGAACGAGAGGTACATGGGCAATATCAGGTCCTCATCAGTAGCAGATTGAGCACTAATGGTTGCCCTGTGTTTGTGATTGTTGCCACTAGACACAATAGACAATTAGGAATTGAATAAGACAACGAGCAATGAATTGCTAGCTGATGCCTTGAAGAGGCAGGAGCAAGTAAGCAGGAGTAATGGTGAGATTGGTGGGGCCTGGTGGAGGAAAGATGGAACCCGCTTAAGTACAAAACTGGGAAGGATATGCTGAGGCTTGTGCATGATGGTTGGGCAAATCTAAGCATGAGGTCTGAAGCGTTTTCAAGTTGTCATGTCCTTCCATCCAGTGCGGAAGGGATTGTTTGTATGCGATCATTGCAGGTTATTATACATTTCCACATTTTTACTGTTAGAAGGTAGATTTCGGTAACATGGGGCATAACCAAATTCCCAATTGAAATGAAATCTTAGGATAATCAATGGCCAATTTTTAGGAGGAATCAAATGAAAGGACATCAATTCAAATCCGAGTCAAACATTTAATAGTTTATTAATTTTCAATATTATTTTTCTTTAAGGTTTAAGGAAAAAAGAAAATTTTTCGGCTCAGTAATATTTTGCACAGTTGCTCAAAGGCGTCCAACCTATAATACTTTTTACACCCAAGGTTTCTCCAAAATGAGTTTTTTCAGTTTTTGGAGTTTCTTTTTTATCCTTGAATTCTTTTTATATCTTTCGTTAAGGACAAAAGACTTGTGTTTATTTCCATTACTATGCGAGGTTACTACAAATGTTAACCAGCAAAAACAGATCTTTCTAAATGATTGAACAGTGACTAATCCATTTTTCTCTTCAATTTTAGCATTCCCCTACCTTCCATGGGGGTGCTTGAAGAGATTTAGTAAAAAACCCCAGATCTTGTCTACACAGGGACAGATCAGGCCGGAGGAATCCTTGAGTACATTCCTTGGGTTGTGACTCATCTACCAGTACTAAGAGGAGAGAAACACCCATACAGGCGTACACCGATTACAGAGAAGCTTCCGGAACAGATTCAGCGACTACTTAGGAGAAGTTAATTGTGGGTAAGTTTACAATTCTTCATACCCTTTTGAGTAATACTTTGTGAGTGTGATTAGTATGATGAGCGAATTAAACAAAGCAAAAATTTCAACCAATATATTTCACAAAAGAAAAGAAACAAATAATAAAACTGAAACCACAAAAAGAATATAGGTCAACACATGAAGCACATCTTGTTGATTACATCAAAAGAATGCATTCTAACAGGAAACAGAGAAATAAACTATTAATGGTTTTCAAATTTAACCTAATGGTAGTACAGCTGATAGATTCAAAACAAGTTCACTTTATAATCAGAAGTTGTTTATGGGAAAATAAAAAATATACCACAAAAGAAGATAGAGGCCATTAGTAATATAATCCTAATTTAGAAATCAGAAGAAAATAAAATATTGGCCCTCTATTAAAGACACTAATGCCAGGCCATGCTAGAAGAATTAAAGAGGAAAAAGGAAAAAGTTTAGGACCCATGGATTCATGGTCGAGACTTGAGCTCAAACCCAGAATAAAATATCAGTTTAAAGAAAATTTTTTCAGAGGGTTAATATTGATTTTTTTTATTCTTAACCTGAATATGCTCCTACTTCCAACTAAATCAAACCTACAGAACCCACCTTTATTAGGGACAATCTCATATTTCTTCTTAGAACGGCAACTACAATTTATACTTTGGTCATGTTGACAAATCCTTTTTGAAGAGTATATGAGTTGCCATGCCTTTCCTTATTAACCTTTTAAAGGTGTATTAGTGTGGCTTGGCAACATTGCTCTTCTCTTACCCCTCAAGCTAACCAAAAAAAGGAAAATTACAGAAGAAGGATGAACTAAAAATAGGATTTCAAGAAGAGCGAAAAGTAAAATTTAGCATCTTGTAATCCAATCCGTTGACTTGTCAGGAAATGAAACCAAGTTTTTGGACCACTTCAGAAGTTCAAAAACCAATATTTGAAAAGAAATACTACAACCAAGTGGGAGAAGCACTCCAATCCAAGATGAATAACACTTACATAGTGCTTGGAATAAATTCCATATGGAAATCAATTTCACCCAAAAAAAAATTTCTTCACCAAATGAAATTTTCATATATAGATTAACTATAAGATCAATTTTTAAAATACTTAGCTTTACTAGCTTGCGCTTTAGAATTCATTAATTTTTGTGACTTAAGCCCTGGTATAGGTTTAGAGTTCATTGCAAAATTTCTATCCATTTTGATTAGAATTTGGTTGAAGCATAACAAATTCCCACAGGAAATTAAGAATATAAAACTTCTAAATGTTTTTTCATTTAAAACCAAAACATGAAAATGTGGATTTATATTTTTTATGAAATTCATTAATACCAAACAAGTTCTTACAGAAAACCTATCCAAAAGCCCCTAAAGCAACCAAGCCCATAATCTGTCTTTCATTGGCGTATGGACAGAGATGTCATTTCTTTGAAGCCTTAAAAAAGAAACTAACTCATTATCTTTTGGCAGGGAAATTTCAAGTGGGGATGGTCCTTGTGGAGAGCTCAAATATCCATCTTATCAGAAAAGCAATTGGGACATTGGAAGTTTCCTGCGAATTGGAGAATTCCAATGTTATGACCAGGTAAACTTTGAATTCGTGCAACACTAAAAATTTCTGTGCTTACCAAATGTATGCATCAAAGCAATCTGCACAAATCACTGCTTGAATAGGGCCCATCATTTCAAGATGATGATGTCCATAGGCAGAAAAGATACGGGAATCTAATACATGAAAAACAAAACAGAAAACTCTAATTATTCCAGTTTCAAACCAAGGTAAATTTCCAAAACACCTACTTCTGTGCCTTGTAATGAACAGGTCAAAAGCTTCACTGGACCAGCATCACGCTGAGGTAGCAGAAAACGGGGTCGCACTGTCCGGACCCCCACAAACGCGGCACAGCCACTATGAAAACAATTTCCTGAAGAAACTTGATCCACAAAGAGATGGAACATGGAATACAAATGACAGTTCATTCTTAGAATGGTCTCCCTCTTTCACTCAGGAAAGCTACATTAAACCCCATGGTGATGGAATCCAGCTGCCTGCTAATAGTGAATATTCAATTAACTGGTGCAAAGCTGTTCTGGAATGAAAAGTAGCTGGAACTTCATTTGTATTTTACAGAACAAGATCCCGATTGTGCAGCAGAACTCACTGCGCAGAGATACATTAATAACCACTTAGAACACCACTAGTCATGGCTACTCACCAATAGCACGACGCTTAGCAACCATGGAGTTGTATGTCAATCCACCTGCATGGAACTGCAAACATAAGAAAACGCTAAAGTGCAACATTGTTCACCATAAAGATAGGTCCGACAAAAGTGAAGTCAATGGTCCACAAAAGACAGCAAAGGGCTGTGAGAGAGAATGGCATTGGAGACGATATGATTGGCAGGCGTTTATGCACATGCCACATAGTATCTTGGCAAGCAAAGTAGATCAGAATCTGTAAACGGATTTAGAGTACGATTTACATTACATTTACGAATGAACAAGGAAATTGTCTTTTGAAGCGTGGACTAATTGGCGGAAACCTTGTGGAAAGGTCAGTTTTGTTTGAAAAGAATCCAGAAACATGGACCCAAAACCAAAAAAGACTTTACCAGCAGTGTGACACCCAGAGGGAAACAAACTTTATTCTTCGCTTTATTTCAAGGATAAGAATGGTCAAGAAAGGACAAAGGGAGGAGAGCTGCTCTTACTTTAAACCACTTGTAGTTAATGGAATCCATGACGCGCACGCCCAGTGTATCGTTTTGTATCATAGGCAAAGGAGGGGAGACAACTTAAAGCAAAAAATTTATGCATACATATACACCATACGTTTAACATATGCAATATGCTGAGTGGATGGGTTTTGAAAAATCAAGAATCAAAGAAATTCATGTTCTATATCTAATTGCTCGTACAGTTCCAAATTTACAAAAAATTTAGTAGGCCCATTCTATTTCATGGCCTTGTTTCAAGGAACCCTTGGAGATATTTGAGTCAATCCCCTGGAG